CCTCTTCCTCCTCCACCTCCTCCTCCGCCTCCTCCTCCTCCTCGACGTTGGTACTCTCAACGCTGATGGCCGTCGATCCCGATCTGAATGCCAAGCGCTCTGTGGTGGTATCCCACTCGCCCAAAGTACCCTCGAGGCCAGTGCGGCGCCTCGGGCTGGCACCCCTTGTCGTAGTCCTGCGTGTACAGGTACTTCGGCTTGTTCTTGTAGTCCTGCTAGTTATGCTGGTGGTTCTCGCAGCTCAGGTGGTTTCCCTCGTCGCCCTTGCAGTTGCGCTGATCGCTCTGGGCTCTCTGCGGGAGGCTCTCGTAGTTTTGCTTGTGGCCCGCGTAGCTCAAGTTGCGGCCCTCGTATCTCCGCAGGTGGCCCTTGTAGCAAAGCTGGTGGGCCTCGGAGTGCTTCATCTGGGCCTTGCAGTTCATCTCGTCGCCCCGGTGGCTCTGCAGGAGGCTCTGATAGTTCTTCCTGTAGTTTGCGTAGCTCTGGTTGCGGCCCTGGTAGCTCAGCAGGCGGCCCTCGTAGCTCTCGTCATTCAGGTGGCGGTCCTCGGAGCCCTGCCTACGGTGCTCCCCCGTGGCCCCAGTAGGTGGCTCAGCGCGTGGTCCCAGCAGCTCAGCACGTTGTCCTCGTATGTCGGCTGGTGGCTGTCCTTGCTCAGCAGGTGGTCCTTGCAGTTCAGCTCGTCGCCCTGGTAGCTCTGCGGGAGGCTCTCGTAGTTCTGCGTGTGGCCCACGTAGCTCCGGTAGTGGCCCTCGTAGCTCTGCTTGTGGCCCATGCAGTTGGGCTGGTGGGTCTCGGAATTCTGCTTCTGGTCCATGCCGTTCAGCTCGTCGCCCTAATCGCTCTGCAGGATGTTCAGGAAAGTTTTCCTGTAGTCCGCGTGGCTCTGGTTGTGGCCCTGGTAGCTCAGCAGGTGGCCCACGTAGCTCTCTCAGCTGTGCCTGTGGTCCTCGAAGCACAGCTGGTTTGTCTGGCAGCTCAGTCGGTAGTCCTCGTAGCTCAGCTGGTGGCACTCGTAGCGCAGCAGGTGGTCTTCGTGGTTCAGCTGGTAGTCCTTAGTCCTGCTTGTGGCTTTCGTAGCTCAGCTTGTGGCTCTGGTGGCTCTGCCGGTGGCTCTCGTAGCACGACAGGTGGATCTTGATGTACTTTTGGTGGCTCCCGTAGCTTTGCGTGTGGTCCTCGCAGCTGTGCGTGTGGTCCTCGTAGCTCAGCTTGTGGTCCTCGTAGCTCAGCTTGAGGCTCTCGTGGTCTGCCGGTGGCTCTCGCAGCTCGGCGTGTGGGCCTTGAAGCTCTTCTGTTGACTCGTGGCTCTGCGTGTGGTCCTCGTAGCTGGGCTTGCGGTCCTCGAAGGTCCTCCGGTGGCCCTGGTAGCTCTGATGGTGTTTGTAGCAGTTCAGAGGGCACGTTTTCTTCGGAGCCCCCGAGGTCCGAGCCGGAGTCGTCGGCTGCCAAGTCGCAGTGTTCCACGTTCTGAGTGTCCCTGTAGTCCTGGCGGCTGTCGTAGCCCTGCTGCCCAGCGTAGTCTTGGGGGTAGTAGGAGTACAGGTCGTTATCGACAAATTTGTCGTAGTCGTGCTCGCCGTAGGTGGCGCGGCCGTAGTCGTACTCGTCGTAGGCGGCGCGGCTTTTTTGTCCACTGGTACCTCCACGACGATGTACTTAGTAACCCTTTTGGGTTGCTCGGTCGTGTCGTTCCTGGTGACGGTCTTGGTGGTGTACGTGGTGTCGTACTGGTGGTGGTGGTCGTCTTTGGGCTGCCTGTTGCTCAGCTCGTTTTCGTATTTGTGCTGCTTGTTGCGCAGCTCGTCCTCTGACTGCATTTTACGCAGCTCGTCCCGTCCTGTAGTGGACGTCATCATGCAGGCGGTCGTAGAGATGGCCATAATGTCATAGAGATGTGGTTGTAGGCAGTGTCGGACGAGGTAGCCCGTTTTCTTGAGAGCTTCATCTGTTCGCACTCTATGCGTGAATGGTCTCGGCATACTTGCCGGTGAGTGTCCACCGAGGTGGGTAAGTCTCGTAGCCGACGTTGTAGATGTCCAGCATGTAGTTCGACATTGGTGGATGGCTTCCCTCTCCCGTATGTTCACCCGCTGGTAGATGAACACCCTCTTCTGGATGTTCACCTCCACGTGGTTAACGTGGTAGATGAGGATGGTCCCTTCCTGGTGGCTGTTATTGTTGTTATTGTTGTTGTTGCTGTTGATGGTGTTGTTATTGTTGTTGTTGTCGTTGTTGTTGTTGTGTTGTTGTTGTTGTTGTTGTTGTTGTTGTTGTTGTTGTTGTTGTTTTTGTTGTTGTGGTTGCTGTTGTTGTAGTTATTGTTGTTGTTGTTGTCGTAGTTGTTGTTGTTGTTGTTGATATTGTTGTTGTTGTTGGTTTTGTTGTTGCTATTGTCCTTGTTGTTGTGGTTGTTGTGGTCGTTGTTGTTGTTGCTGCTGCTGCTGTTGCTGTTATGTTTGTTGTTGTTGTCGTCGTCGTCGTTGTTGCTGCTGTTGTTGTTGTTGTTGTTGTTGTTGTTGTTGTTGTTAATGTTGTTGTTGTTGTTGTTGTTGTTGTTGTTGTTGTTGTTGTTGTAGTTGTTGTTGTTGTTGTTGTTGTTGTTGTTGTTGTTATTGATGATGTTGTTGTTTTGTTGACGTTGTTGTTTTGTTGTTGTTGCTGAATGCAAATTCCTAAGCAATTATTATTGTTGGACCTCTTAAAGGCGCCCTGGCGCTCTCGCCGAGGTGCCGGCTACATTTTCATTGAAAAGGAGGATCACGCTCGAGCGGTTTGGGGGACTGCCAAAACCGGTCCCCCAACAACAACAAGAACAACAACAACAACGCTCCCGCTCGAGACTTCCTCTTTTTTTACTCATGGCCGGTGTTCTTGCTCGCCGCCGAAAGCCGCCGTCCTAACAAAACCAGCGCTCCCGCTCGAGACTTCCTCCCGTTTTACCTTGGACTGGCGCGCTAGTCTTTCTCTCATCGGCGCCGCCCCCAGCAAAAACAACGCTCCCGCTCGATGCTTCCTCCCTTTTTTACTCAAGGCGGTGCTCCTCCTCGCCTGCATGCGTCTGCCACCACCCAGCACAGCCCTTGCTCCCTGCGTTTGGCCCGCTTAGTACAGCGTTTCGTGGCCCCACAGGGAACGCCACCGAAGAAGATAATCACAATTGCGGTATTCACAACTGCATATGGTTTTCCTTCTCAAACTATGTTGTTGGCCCACGGATCACAACAACAACGGCTCCTGCTTGAGATTTCCTAACACTTTAGCCTGGACCCCGCTCCCGCCTGAGACTTCCTCGCGTTTTATTCAGGAATCGCGCCCTCGCTTGGGACTTTACAATTTATTCAGGAGTTGCTCTCCCGGCGCTCTGGAGTCGCACTCTCGCTGGAGACTTGCTTGCAATTTACTCGAGAATAGTGCCCTTGCGTTGGAATTTCCCGCACTTTGCTTAAGCGCCGCGCTCCCGACACTCAGGCACCCATGAGTCGCGTTCACGCTTAGGACTCCCTCACATATTATTTAGGAGTCGAGATCTCGCTGCCCTTCGTGGCCCCGTTGCAGCCCTTCGTGGCCCCTTCATTGCCTTTCGTGGACCCGTTGCAACCCTTCGTGGCCCCATCGCTGCCCTTCGTGGTCCCGTTGCAGCTCTTCGTGGCCCCCTTGCTGCCCTTCGTGGCCCCGTAGCAGCCCTTCGTGGTCCCCTCGCCGCCCTTCGTGGTCCCGTTGCAGCCCTTCGTGGCCCCCTCGCTGCCCTTCGTGGCCCCGTTGCAGCCGTTCGTGGCCCCCTCGCTGCCTTTCGTGGCCCCCTCGCTGTCTTTCGTGGCCCCGTTGTAGCCGTTCGTGGCCCCGTTGCAGCCCTTCGTGGCCCCTTCATTGCCTTTCGTGGACCCGTTGCAACCCTTCGTGGCCCCATCGCAGCCCTTCGTGGCACCCTCGCTGCCCTTCGTGGCCCCGTTGCAGCCCTTCGCGGCCCCGTTGCAGCCCTTCGTGGCCCCATCTATGTATGCCCTTCGTGGCCCCCGCTCGTTCGCGCCCGTGGTGGCCCCATATGCATGCCCTTCGTGGCCCCGCCGTTGCCCTTCGTGGCCCCCTTGTTGCCCTTCGTGGCCCCGTTGCTGCCCTCAGTGGCGCCGTCCTTACCCTCCGCGGCCCACTCTACGTATGCCCTTCGTGGCCCCTGCTCGTTCGCGCCTGTCGTGGCCCCATGTGCATGCCCTTCGTGGCCCCGCTGTCGCCCTTTGTGGCCCCCTCGTTGTCCTACGTGGCCGAGTTGCTACCCTCAGTGGCCCTGTCGTTGCCTTCTGTGGCCCCGCATTATCTGCCCTTCGTGGCCCCCGCTCGTTCGCGCTCTTCGTGGACCCATATGCGTTCCCTTCGTGTCCCCGCTGTCGTCCTTCGTAGCCTACTTCGTTCCCTTCGTGGCCCTTCTGTCGTTCTTTCTCTCGCTCTCGCTTTCGCTCGTCGTCGTCGTCGCCGTCGTCGTCGACGTCGTCGTCGTCGTCGTTTTCGTGGTCGGTTCCCCGTCCGTCCCTCTTGGGGTCGGGTTGCCGCCGATCAGTGCTGCCGCTGGCCAGGCCGACGGTCCGCGGCCGCCTCGCCGCTTGCCGGGGCCCGGCCTGCAGGGAAGAAAGGTATACCCCCCAAAAGGGGTACGATCGAGGACGAATAGGTCGGGTATCGAGGGTTTTGGAAATACGCGTTAACGGACACTCGATCAGATAAGATCGAGCAATCTTAACATGATTGTGGTTGTTGTTGTTGTTGTTGTTGTTGTTGCCGTCATTGTTATTACTGTTGTTGTGCACGCTGTACGCGCGCCGCCAATGACGGCGGCGCGCTGGGGTCAGCCCCCCCCGCTGGGTCCTGGCGCGTCGGCGAGGGGCTCGGGGCTAGAAGGCCCCTTCTTCTCCATCGCGTTCACCTTCACCT